GTGCAAATTAATTCCAAATTGAACTAGAAACCGTATGGTTACCTATACTACTACTACTAATAATGATAATGACAGTGACAATGACAATAACAATGGTAATGATATTAAATAATAATAATAGATATTTCTATAGACTAATTACTCATGATAATTTGCATAACAAAGAAATAAATACTGATTTCTGACAGAAAGCAGAGAAATTTAACGTAAGTGATCGATGAGACGGTAAGCATGTCCCACTTACTAGTGAGGTACTAAGAATATAATTGTGTTTTTCCAGAAAATATCGATGCCCCTCCCCCCTCAACAGAAGGGCTTTTTGATTGAACCCCCCATCCCTTCAGAAATTCCAGCTTCATCTCTTTAAAGATCTAAGACGGAATTTCCAGTGTTTGGTGGACATCAAGTTACCAGAATGATATCAGCTGCCAGTTGATTATTTTTTGGCACCTCTTTCCTTGAGGGAATGAAGCAACCTGTTCTTAAACCATATTTTCTCATATTTTGTGCCATCAAGTTGTAGAACTACTGATGTTTAGAAATATTCCATTTCTTGCAAGTCATAACCATATGACTAAAGGAGTGTTTTCTTTTCATGGTCATTTCTTAGGAGCTTGGGGTAATGAAGGAGCTGGTCTTATAGAGGTTTGCATGTTTCCCTGGAGCAAACAGACTCTGCCCACTTCGGACGACATTTTATCAAGTTTCAACTTTCATCCTGAGATGCACAATGGCCCAATGGTGAAAAATGAAATAACAGCATTGAAGATTGATTCAGAGAAAGAATCAGAGGACGGAATCCAAAGAGGGCATGTAAGATGGAATACACTACAGACGGCATATGATGCAGATGTCAAAAAAGCATGTGATTTCTTTGGCTGGCTTGAGAACATTTTCACTCCAATGACTCGTATTTGTATTGGGTGTGAGAGAATGAATCCAACACCATGTTTTATTTTGGCGCATCTTGCACCTGGGTGGGTGGGGGGCATTTTGTCATCTTTGGTTCTTACATGATAGACATTAGTCCTTCTTTTCTCATAGTTCATCGAGTGAGAATTGGAACCTTGTATATGGCTGGTGCTCCTGAAAATTAAATTAACCAATCACCATTCAAAAGGGAGGAGAAATAATTATTATTGTACCATCGTGATTCCATGTGTTTGTTAACAGGAAAGGCTTCTAAGTTCAGTCACATTCTCAGTGGTCTGAGTATAAATGAATTTTTGTGAGAAGAGATTTAAAATGCAAAAAGGCCATAACAAATTGTACAGATGAAAGATATGAAACATTTTGTTTCTCTAAGCTTTAAAATTGGTGTCAAAACTTGTTCGCAGTGAAATTAGCGGTATTAATTAAAAGGTAAAATTCCAAAGTTAAGAGGCCATATTAGGCATGAAGAAATTTAATAATAATAGTAAATCTTTACAGTGCCTTTTCTCAACAATTCAAAGGTGCTAAAATAGACATACTGAATATCGTTAAAAGTAGACAGCATGGCTTTGACTAGTGCTTGTTAAGTGTTTTTCCCAGCACTTTATGCAAGGGAAAAGTGCTCAAGAATCTGGTATGCGTGTGTGGGGAGAGAGATTTATGTCTCCCCCTCGGTGGCTTTTTTTTTTTTTTTTTTTT